GGGAAAGAGAGATACTAGGGGACAATACAAGTCTAGCTATTTTACTTTTATTAAGAAACATTACATATTTGGGGACTATAAGGAACAAGGAATTTAAGTTTTGTATTTTTATTTGACTTAAATATTACAAAATTTATTAATTGAAGGCTTTGGGCCCAAATGTATAGGCAAGACTTAAATCCTAGTATAAACTTGAAAGTTTCAGTGTAGTCGTCACTGCCTGTGCTATAGTTTAGTTAATAGCCTTTTCTGGTTAACTGAAATAATCAGATTTTGTAATGAAATGTATGTGCAAAGCAGAAGTAGTTCTGAAACTTGTCTTCAGAATTTCATGTAGGGTGTTGGATTTACTTATATTATACTAGTTCTCATATATCTCATCAATGCCTCTTTAAAATTTTAACTAAATTAAATAATCCTCTGTGCTTCTGAAGCCTCTTTCAAAGGGTGCTAACTTGTGACTTACTGATTTATTAATTGAAAGTTTCCTTTAATTTCTAAGTTGGTATCATGCATAATGAGAGATTAATCTATGATATTTCAGTAGCTGCTGCTTTTTCTACATGTAAGCTTGCATTTTTTAAAAATATGTGTAATAGGACCTGAAATCTCGAGAGAGAGATGAACGTGAAGAAGCAGGGATTCTAAACCCAGTCGTGGAAAGAGAAGAAAAATTCATTAAAGATCAAGGACTCTATATTGTAAAACAGGAGGTTGCAAAGCTGGAGGACGGTAAGAGTTTGTTTAAGCACGTGATGAGTCAGCATGCCTTGGGAAAGAAAGCGTTAACATCCCCTAATATTTTCCAGCTAAAGAATGAATCGGACATACAAAACAAAAAATTGATACAGTAGTAGGGAATATTCTGTCAGAAACTACAAACATTTGAATGAAGCTACAAAGAAAAAAATGAAAACCGTCAGTCAGTTGCTGTTGGGGATTAGGAAACAAGGACAAGTTCTCTACAGAAAATTCAGATGAAGTAAAATTCAGATGACGGGGAAAAATTCGTTGTGTGTTAACTAAAGCTTGATGAAGATATAACTGAAGTACAACCCTCTTTATTGTTTTTACCTTAAAACTATCTAATATACATGTAGAGTAGCCCAAGCATTAAAATCAATGAATTGTGATATCCTGAATATATGCTTATAATTTTTCTTTGGTTTTAATATGTAAAGTAAATCTTTAATGTGTTCAACCATTAGTTGGAAGTTTCGTGAACCAACTCACATAGTTTCAGATACTGGAAATGAAGTTCAGGAATATATTTCCATCTGGGTAAAATGTCTTAAAGGTATAGGTGAGACTCTAATCTTTTGAATATATTTTATTAGTTATATAGTAGCTGCTTACAGAGAAATCCTTTTTTTTTTTTTTACCTTTAAAGTTAATAGAACATAAAATTATCACCTAATTGTTACTTAGTGCATGTACATTTTTGTGTATTTAAACCAATATAACAGTTGAAATAGAAGTTACATTTCTATCACTATTGGGTAATGTATAAAGGGAGAAGCTTTCACATGTTAAACTACAGAATAGAAAATTAGGTATTATATTCAATTCCGTCTAGGTATCAGGAAAAGGAATAAAGTAATAGACTGTCACTTTTCCCTGTCCTTTTTGACTGATTTTTTTCCTGGAGTCTATATGGAATGATTTCTGACATCAGTGAGAATGTATGCCATTTACTAAAATTACTAAATGCATAGTGTTCTTACATATTTTAATATTTTTAACTTTATATTTGGGACTAATTTCAAAATTATAGCAAAATGGCAATAATAGCCAAAGGACTATTTAAGTTGTATATATCATGCCCATGCCCTAAAATAACTTCCATGTTTATTTCTCCAAAATAAGGACATTCTTTTATATCATTCCAGTATAGTTTTCAATCTCAGGAATTTAATACAACACAATTCTCTGCTTTGCTGTCCATATTCGTTTGTCAGCTGACAGTATTATCCTATATAGCATTTTCTTATCTGGAATAGCTTCTTAGCCTTTTAAAAAATATTTTGTGAATTTAACATTACTGATGAATACAGACCCGTTTTTTTTAAAATAGACTGTTCCTCATTTGGGGTTTATCTGAAGTTTTCTCTTAATTAGATTCAGGTTAATGCATCTCCTGTCAAAGTACTCCATAAGTAATGTGTCTTTCTCAGGGTATGACATCCAGAGGCTCAATTTATTTTTAAGTTTAAAAGTCTTTTCTCCAACCCACTACCCCCAATTCAGTGTGCAGCACTATATTAGGTATCAAAAATAAGCAGAGAACCTTCTTCCCCACCCCTAAATTGAAGAACAGTTTTTTTCTTTAAATGTGAGTCTTAAATGCAGTACACATTAAGTGTATTCTTTTAGAATCCCAGAATATCAAATATAGAAATGAAGCTTACGGTGTCCATTTTCATTTTATTGTTAATACCCACATTAGATAAAGACTTTTGTAAAAGATGAACGTTGAGGTTTCCTATTTAAGAATATTGACTGCTGTAAAATTTCACTTTTAAAATTGATTTCATACAGAATGGAAAAGAGAAGAACTTGCTAAAAAGCAAAAAGAAAAGACATCTTTGCTGGAGAGAGAAGAAAAGCCAGCCTTGGAAACTGGAAGATACCAAGTGGGAATGTACCAAATTCAAAATATTGATAAATTGGAAGAAGAAGAAGAAAGACTGAAGAGAGAGATTCTGCTTGCTAAACTGAATGAAATCAACAGGGAACTCCAAGATCCTCAGAATCTAAAATGTCCACCTCTGCCACTGCTACCTGATTTGGAATCTAAACTATACTCCCCAGAGAGAAGTCCCAGAACATACCTATTCTCTGAATCCTCAGAGAGATTATTTAATGGGCATCATTTACAAGACATCAATCTTTTAACTACTAAAGGAAATGGTCAGAATCCAGGAAATATTAGAAGCCCAGTCTCTCCAAATGACCTTGCATTTGGCAGCTATGTGCCTTCATTTGCAAAAACATCAGGGAAGTCAAATCCATTTAGCCAAAAAAGTGGTCTTTTGGATTTCCAAAGAAACAGTATAGAGAAACTTAGTAAAGATGATGTAGATTTAACTACAAGAAAAGAGAGAAAAGCTAATCTGATGGAACAGCTATTTGGTGTCAGTGGTGGCAGCACTATTTCCTCTAAAAGCAGTGACCTGAATTCTCTGGCTGCCAGCAAAGGAGACTTCGACTCTCTAAATTTTCTCCCTGGGGATAAAAGCAGCAGGGGTAGAGAACAGGATGAAGATGACTTTTTCCTCAGCGAAGGAAGAAGTTTTAATTCAAACAGACACCGATTAAAACATGCAAACAATAAACCAGCAGTAAAAGCAGTTGATTCTGTAGAAGATGAAATTGAGGAAGTAGCACTGAGATGACTGACTAGAGTATAAATTTTTTTCCAATTGTAAATATTTTAATACAGTATTTATTATAAACACTTGGACTTTTTAATATTAAAAAGTCCTTATTAAGGAATGACTTTTAATAAATACAGTGCAAATAAAAATTATATCACATCTTATAGCTAGTTTACCAAGAATGAAGGAGGCTCTTTTGAATGAAGCCAAAAATAGAGGTATAGCTTACTTGGTTTTGAGTTTTTAATTTACAAATAGATTTTACCTCTTAAATCAGCTCTGTGGGAAGTTTTACTCCTTTGGAGTTCATATTTATTTCCTATTTTTATCCTTATTTATTTGTATTTAGCTCACTGAGGATATGACCAAAAATAGTCTTCCCACCGATTATTGAATGGAAATTAAGAGTGAGAGGCTCTGTGTTGGAAAGCATAGCTCCCAGCTGGTAGAAAATGGGTGCTGTTTCAGAGTCCTGTCCTTTATGGGGTGGGCTGGGGGTCCCTTCCGTACATGGCAAGGCTGAGCTACCCTGACGCGAAGCAGCAACAACATTGGGATGTCCTCTTCCTTCAGAAGGAACCAGAGTTAACACTACTCATTTCCCAGTTACAAGTCTCATTAAATCACTTACCTACCACTGCAAACATACTGGTTTGAATTCAAAAGACATTTGTTTGCACGGACAGTTCCCTTGACATGGCTCCCAGTATAATCAGTAATTCCTCTCCTGCTACATTATTTGTATCTGAGATTTCATACCAAATACATGGAATAGAAGTAATTTTATTCCAATATAGAAAGACTTTCAACTCAATTATGTTTCCAAAGTAATATAACTTGGAAATTTTTAATATATACTATTAAGATTTGAACTTACTATCAAACCAAAGAGACAATGATAGTGTAATACTCTTGGACGTACAGGACTAATTTTAAATCAGCCTTGGTTAAATGTTTTAGAAATGGGACTTCTGCCTTGCTGTGTAGGGTAGGTGTTTTTTTTCTGTTGAAATGCTTTGGTCATTTGCTGTTTGCAGCTCACTTCATCTGTAAGAGTAGTTTATGACCTCGGATTATGCTGGGTTGTGGAAATAGTGTGTCAGGGGAAAAATAAAAAAATGTAGATTGACACTTATTCTAACACAAGCTGTTTTTTGTTTTTCAAGAACTTACAGTGTATTCACTCATAGGATGATTTCTGATGCCAAGTATACATACTGATGAGGGCACTAGAGTTACTGTTTTATCTTGAGTTCTTACAAATGCTTATTATTGAATATAATTTCATAACTCTTTGACAAGACTTACCTGGTTAAGTCTCTCATTAAAAGATGTACCAGCTATCTTCAAAATTGTGTTTCTGTCATTTATTGTGAATTGAATCTCCCCAAAGTGCTAAACTATATTTAAAATTTTTTAAGATTTTTATGTCTGATATAAGCATTTAGTATGTTGCAAATCATTCTAATATTTGTAAACCACAATATTGTAATGCAGTTCTTGATAAAATATTATGTAATGTTAATTTTGTTCATAGCTGCTAATTTTTCTGCCAAAAGTATTCTTATATTTAGGTTGTTTTGTTTCAAAGGCTTTTTAAAAGGCCTTTTAATAAAGTTTTATATTCAGGTCATTATAATTACTCTCTTGTTTTTCTCTACCTGATGTTTTCTAGTCTCTTTAACCAGATGCAGCAAGACAATTATTAAATTTAAACCTAAAATTAAGTTATAGACTCAGAAGCATTATGGTGTGAAGCATTAAAATTGGAGATTAAAATGTACAGAACAGGTTATTTCTTTATGAACAAACCTTAGTGAATCTTTTTTCCTAAATGTCAAGTTAAATTTGTTATTTGTACTCAGAACTCTTACTAATAAAAATTAAAAATATACTGATTCTTTGTTTGAATGATACCTTAGATCACTTAGAATATATATAGTAGAAATAGGACCTGCAGGGTTAATTTTTATTTCATTATTCACTTTTTTTTTTGTCTAGTATTTTTAGCTGAAGTAGATGAATTTGCCCTAAATCAGGTTAGATAGTATGCTAGTCTTATCAGGTAATTATAGTTTTAATTAATCCTTTCACCCTTAATAGCTATCGTAATGGCATATATTGCTCATAATATAAAAAAGGCGGGGGTAAGGAGGATTAAATTGAATCATAAAATGAACTTATTTCATGGCTGACTTGCTGTTTTTCTGGTCCTCCTTTCCATCTTATATTCAGACATACTGAACTTGTAGTACCCTGGTTAAGTGTTAGGTATCTGCCTGATGAAAACAGGAAGGGACAATTGTACTACAGTAATAATAGGCACTTTTTAGGATGAAAGAAGGTACGATAAATTGTCAAGAAAGGATCTTCCTTTAAAATCATTTAAAAGTGTTCTCCTTATAGTAAATAGCATGTGTTTAATTATTTGACTGCTTCCTGGGTACCCAGCATTGTATTAGATGCCAGGAAAGTAAGACAGATCTGGCCCCTGCCTTCACTGGATGCAGAGCATGGTGAGCCATCCCTGTCCGCCCACCCACTCTGCAAGTGTCTTTGGTTTCCTCAGCTGTTATTGGTCTTTTAAAGTACTTCCCAAGGTGCTTTTGAGGAGTAAATGAAATACTTAGGGTAATGTTCGGCTGGGTGCTTGCTACATTATAAGCACTCAGTTAATTACGAGTTTCTTTTAAGGCACAGTTTAAAAAACAGCATAGGCTGACTGCTGGTCAAGATGGCGGAATAGATAAATGCTATGCTCGTTCCCATGACTACATCAAAATCATAACTAAGTTATACAACAAACATCATTGAAAACCTCCCAAAGACTGGCTAAACAAAAGTTCTGTACATATATAAAGAAGCCACAATGAGACTAGTAGACACAGAATGGGCAGGTCCCACACCCATGATGTGGCAATTAAGAATCTGAAGAGATATCTCAGCTGCAGAGGTACCCCCTGAGGAACTAGGTGTCCCAGTCCCACACACACCTCCCCAGTCCAGGGCACCAGTGCTGGGAAGAGTTGTCCCCATAACGTGGCTGTGGAAACCTGCAGGGATTACATCTAAGTGAGATGGATGGCTGCTGGAGTCCCAGACATTCCTCTTGAGGGGCCACACAAAGATTCACCCCCAGACTCGATCAATCTGGGCTCCAGGGTGGGGGCAGCAGCCTGAAGAGCACCAGGGACATTGGGGAGGAACTGAATTGACTGGCTTCAGGGCAAGGACTGGAGGGGCAGGAGTCAGGGCAGCTCTCCAGGGATAGAGGCACTGGCTCTGCTTCATCTAATCATCAGATTAGATGAAGCAGAGGATCAAATCAGTGATCTAAAAGGTGCCAAAGATCTTTTGTTCAACCCTTCTCCCACCCAGCCAGGAGACAAAGGCAAATGCCAAATCTGAGCCTTCCATTTACTCAGCTAACACCTCCCCACCCTGGTGATTCCCTAAGACTCCATCGTACCCAACTCATGCCCTGCCAAACCACTTCCAGCTGCTTTTCCACACCAGTGGCCTGCCTCAGCTTGCACTACAGACTTTTCTAAAATCAAAGGTCTACAAACCCCAAACAAGCAGTAACTGACCTCAGCATACTGTGTACCTCTTGCTAAATGGCCACGAGTCTAGCACAAGTGGTGACTGATTTAACATGCATTTGTAATTCCCATCAGTTGTCCACAATTCTGGCATAAGATGCAGCCAGTGTTGGCCTCAAGCATAGCTTCAGCTAAGCAGCCAGCAACCTGGTACAATAGGTAGCTGGCCTCAGCTCACATTGTGTTGCCCACCAGTGTCCCAAACCTGGCTCTAGTGTCAGCCTCAGTTAACAGCATAGCTCCTCACAAGTGCTTCCGAGCCCAGCATAAGTGGCAGACAACTACAGATCACTTCATAGCTCTTCCTAGGCAGCCCCAAGCCAGCAACTAAGCCCTTCCCAAGAGCTCCAGAACCAACACCCAAAGGATGGCTCCAGAGCACAACAGAGAACCACCAAAACAGCTACACAAATGATACATTCAAAGAGTGAAGTTGGCTGGCACCAGAACACCACTAAAGCGATTTCCACTCATGGGGTAAGTACCTACACAACAGCTTCTATAATAACAGCCAGCCCTCAGAGAAAGTCAGCCTGAGATTCAGTCCTACCCACTGACATGCCAACAGCAATCAAGGCTCAATTCAAGTACAGCAGGAGAACCCACATGAGGGACACTCCTGGATCACCTGGCTCAGGTGAATAGGGACACTGCACCACTGGACCTCACAAGACACCTACTACGTAAGGCCACTCTACCAAGACTGGGAAGCAGCAGATCTACCTAATACGTAGAAAAACAAACGCAGGGAGGCAGCCAAACGAGGAGACAAACATGTCCCAAATGAAAGAACAGGACAAAACTCCAGAAAAAGAACTAAACAGAATGGAGACAAGCAATCTACCAGATACAGAGTGAAACGGTGGTTATAAGAATGTTTGATGAACTTAAGGGTAGAATGGATGAACTCAGTGAGAACCTCAACAAAGAGATAGAAATTATTTAAAAAAAAAAAATCAAAAATGAAGAATACAAGAACTAAAATGAATACATTAGAGGGAATCATCAGATTAGATGAAGCAGAGGATCAAATCAGTGATCTAAAAGACATGGTGGTGGAAAATATCCAATCAAAACAGCAAAAAGAGAATTTTTTAAAATGAGGATAGTTTAAGGGACCTCTGCGACAATATCAAGTGTACTAACATTTGCATCCTAGGGGTACCAGAAGGAGGAGAGAGAGAACAAGGGGTTGAAAACCTATTTGAAGAAACAATGACGGAAAACTTTCCTAACCTGGTAAAGGAAATAGACATATAAGTCCAGGAAGTTCAGTTCTAAACAAGATGAACCCAAAGAGGCGGGCCCACAGCAAGACACATCATAATTAAAATGCCAAAGGTTAAAGACAGAGAATATTAAAAGTAACGAGAAAAGCAGTTCATTACATACGAGGAAGATCTCATAAGATTATCAGCTGAATTTTCAAGATAAACCTTGCAGGCCAGAAGGGAGTGGCATGATATATTCAAAGTGATGAAAAGAATTACAACCAAGCTTATTCAGCAAAGCTATCATTTAGAATTAATCAAAGGAGAACGAGTTTCCCAGACAAGAGAAAGCTGGAGTTCATCACCACTAAGCCAGTATTACAAGATATGTTAAAGGGATTTCTTTAAGTAGAAAAGTAAAAAATATGAAAAAGAAAATATAGGAAAGAAAAATTCTCAATGACAAAGGCAAACACTTAGTAAGCAGTGGATTAACCATCTATATAGCTAGTACAAACATTGAGGCAAAGTAGGAAGATCGTGTGTAATTACAATTATAAATTAAGGGACACACACAAAGGAAGTAAAAAGTAATGATAAAAACAAACATGGAGTGGGTCAGTAAAATATGTAGTGATTTTAGAATGTATTCAAACTTAAGCAGTCAGCAACTTAAAATATTCTGCTAAAAAATCAATTTGGTATACGTGAAACACAAGGTTAACCACAAACCAAAAATCTACAAGAGATATACAAAAAATAAAGAGAAAGGAATCTAAACACAACACTATAGAAACTCATCAACATACAAGAGAGCAAGAGAATAAGAAGGAAAAGAATTTTAAAAAGTTAAAATGGCAATAAGTACATACTTATTACAAATTACTTTAACTGTAAATAGACTAAAGCTCCAATCGAAAGATGAAGGGTGGGTGAATAGATTTTAAAAAACAGGACTCTTACATTACCGACTACAAGAAACCCACTTCAGATCAAAAGAGACAGAGACTAAAAATAAAGGAATGGACAAATATAATTATGCAAATGGAAATGAAAAAAAGGTAGGGTAGCAATACTTACATCAGACAAAATAGACCTTAAAACAGGGCTGTATTGAGATAAAAGAAGGGCACTTCATAATGATAAAGGGATCAATCTAACAAGAGGTTATTACTGTAAACATGTTGAGTGCATAGTAGTAAACATCTATGCACTCAACATAGGAGCATCTAAATATATAAAGCAAATATTGATGGACATAAAGGGAGAGATCGACAGTAATACAGTCGTTACAGAAGACTTTAACACCCCATTGACATCAATGGATAGATCATTCGGACATAAAATCAAGAAACAGTAGCCTTAAATAACACTAGACCAGATGGACTTAATTGATATATTTAGAACATTTTACCCCAAAAGCAGAATATATATTCTTTTCAAGTGCACGTGGAACATTTTACAGGATAGACCACACATTAGGCCACAAAACAAGTCTCAATATTTAAAAAGATTGAAATCATCTCAAGCATGTTCTCCAATCACAATGGTTTGAAACTAGAAATCAATTATAGGAAGAAAACTGAAAACCACAAACTTATGGAGGCTAAATAATGTTACTAAACAATAAATAGGTTAACATAACAACAAGATCAGGAAGAAATCAAGAGATACATTAAGACATGAAAATACAGTGACCCAAAATTTAGGGGACACTGCCAAAGCAGTTTTATGCACAGCAATACACACCTACCTCAAGAAACAAGAAAAATCTCAAATAAACAATCAAATATTACACTCAAAGGAACTAGAAAATGATGAACAGC